GGCACAAGTGGCTAAGGCACCAGCCACATACACTTAAGGTGGCAGGTTCGAATCCCCAGCCCGGGCCGCCAAACAACAATGGCTGCAACCAAAAAAATGGCTGGGCATTGTGGCGGGCGCCTGTAGTCCCAGCTACTTGGGAGGCTGATGCCGGAGACTCGCTTGAGCCCAGGAGTTGGAGGTTGTGTGAGTTGTGATGCCATGGCACTCTACCTAGGGGGATAGCTTGAGGCTCTGTCTAAAAAAAAAAAAAAAGAAAAAAGAAAAAAAGAAAATTAAATGGTATTTTCTGAATGTGTTAATTGATGTTTTGGAATTATGTATTTGTACGTTTTTTGGGTAACAGATTGACTTTCATCTGTATTTGTAGCATTTGTTATTCCACAACACAAAATTGTGAAAGCCATATCTCATAAATTTGTCAATCAAAGGGGCTATGTCTACTAATGCTTCCTGTTTCAGAGGGTGTGAACAGTTTTGGTATTAGTGAATCTACTGAGGTAATCCTGAGGTTTCCTGGGTTATCTGGGACCTCTTCCCAGATAAGAGAAATTTACCTGGATGTAAATTTGGCTTCTTCTGGCCATTTGTCATCCTCCAGACACTAGTGTAACACCTACCAGGTGTGTTCATGGTGTATCTTCATGGGAAGGCTATTGTTTTCTGGAGAAATGGTGATCTGAGTATTTCATTCGGACAATAATTCTCTCCCCAACAATAAAACAATGAAATCAGGCATCTAAAGGAACTGATGACTTAACTCTTTTTCTCCAATCAACCATGAAAGAGGTTGAAGAATTTGTGTTCCAGCTATCCTGTCACTCCTACTGCATAACCAGATTGTTTAGTCAGAGGGGAGAGTGAAGTATTAAGAAATGAATATGTCGCCCCAGTATTTATTAGAAATCCTTGGCCCATAGCTTTCCATAAGTAAACAGAGGGTAGACTACCCTTTGGGCTGGGCATTCCTAGAGACATTGTACCAAATAGTTGGCTGACCATAAAGGCATCATAGCCATGGACCAAGTATTACCTGAGGACAATGTGCCCATCTCAGGCTGCAAGACTAGGCTGAGATCTGCATTTTCTCCCCCAGAGTCTCAAGGTCAGATTCCAGTGGCAGGTGGCATCCCTTAACAAGACTGCACCCACTTTCTACATTTAATTCCTGAGTTTCAGACTTGCTGTGCCAGGGTGACTCTTTTTAGCCTGTGTCACCAAGTCATTTTGCTAACATGACCTCCCTGTCTGCCTTGCATTTTACTACTGACCATTAATTCACCCTCAGAAGAATCTGGGGTGTCTTCCTGCATCTCCTCGGGAGTCTATGAGGAGGTTTAATACACACCATTGGCTTCCACTTTAGGGGTGGAAAACTAGAGCTTTAAGCCAAGAGCAGAGCAAGGCCACAGTTTTATAAAAGAGACACCACTGATGCAGCAGGAGAAAAATCAATTTGAAACACCTTACTTGATTGAGAAAGTCACAACTCAAAAAGGGCAGCAAGGAGAGCAGGTAGTCTCAAATTTGTACCACTACCAGAAATGGTCCAGTTTGGCCAGTTCTTGCGAAAGAAAAATACGTTTTTCAAGGCTGGCAGCAGTTACACATACATATTCTGTCATCTTATCTTAGCAACAAAAAGCCAAGAGGTATGAGGAATGAATTAAAGACACAGAGGAAGGAGTGAAAATGTCAGGCAATATGAAAAAAAGGGTCTAGTGTTAAAATGATAAAGTTCACTCCTGTTTTTCTTCACTTCAGTTTCAAAGGAGTAACTCATAACCTTGAGTACTGATCTCAACACCCATAACTAAGAAATACAGCTTCAGGCAGGCAGAAGAAAATACAGAGCAGCAGATTTAACACTATTGTGGCAGATTCATGCAGAATAATTGTTTGTCACTTTCAGCAAATACACAGCAATCTGATGAGGTTTTAAACAGCCTCAAAAGAAAACTAACACTTACTTGGAGATTCCTTTTTCAGTTAGGCCAACCTATTCACATACAAAATTTTTCATAAATTTACATTTGCAAATATTATCCTTTACATAGACCATTTTTGACATGCCGAAGCCCTGTTTGCTAGAATATTTTCTTCTTTTTTTTTTTTTT